TTACTTGGCGATTTTAATGCCCACCATTTCCTCTGGGGGGTCTCATTGTGACTCACGCATTCAGTTGGAGGCTTTTCTCGCTTTTCACCTCCTCCATGTTTTAAATACGGGTACCCCCACCCATTTTGATCCTCATACTCACACTCTCTCTTGCATCGATCTCTCGGTCTGCTCTTCCTCCACTGCACTAGACTTTGCCTGGTGTGTTCTACCGGACTTACATGACAGCGATCACTTTCCAATCATTCTTACTTCTCCTTCATATTCACCACCTCTTCGTAGCCCTCGCTGGCAATTTGATCGAGCAAATTGGGACCTTTACTCGCAGCTAACTGCTTTTAGTGAAGTTCCTTCTTCATCCTCCATTGATGAACTTTTACACCTCTTCTCGACATCAGTTTTAACCGCAGCTTCTCATTCTATCCCCCAAACCTCAGGCAGGCATTCTTGGAAGTGTGTGCCATGGTGGTCTCCTGCCTGTGCTCGGGCAGTATGTTTGAAATGCACTGCGTGGGGCAGGTACCTGTACAATAGAACCACAGAGACTTCTTGATTTTAAGCAGAAGCAAACGATCGCTCGCCGTGTCATCCGTGATGCTAAACGCACTTGCTGGCGAGATTGTGTTTCCACCATCACCTTGGCTTCCTCTATGAATGCAGTCTGGAAAAAAGTATGGAAATTGAGTGGTAAATACTCTCCTGACCCGGCTCCTGTTTTGCAGGTTGCTGGTGTTGATATAGCAAACCCTCTTGATGTTGCCACTGAAATTGGCAATCATCTGGTCTGTATTTCTCAGGGGCTCCATCTATGCCCCTCGTTTCTTTCCTCAAAGTCTGCCAGAGAGTTAGTACCCTTGGACTTTTCTTCTCACATTGAAGAACCATATAATGTGCCTTTTACACTTCAGGAACTGGAGGCGACACTCTCCACTTGCCGATCATTGGCAGCTGGGCCTGATGACATTCATATGTGGATGTTACAACATTTACATAAGTCAGCGCTTGCAGTCCTCTTACACCTCTTCAATCTTATTTGGTCACAAGGAGTTCTTCCCCAGCTGTGGAAATCTGCCATTGTTTTCCCGTTCCGCAAACCGGGTACTACAGGACATGATGCCTCCCACTATCATCCCATTGCTCTTACCAGTGCAGTTTGCAAAGTGATGGAACGTCTGGTAAATCGACGTTTAATGTGGTATTTAGAGACACACAACAGTCTCTCCACTAGTCAATATGGCTTTCGCAAGGGCCGTTCTACCATAGACCCCTTACTACGTTTAGATACGTATGTTCGTAATGCCTTTGGGAATAACCACTCAGTTATTGCCATATTTTTTGACCTTGAGAAGGCATATGACACAACTTGGAGGTATAATATTTTGGCCCAAGCCCACTCCTTAGGCCTCCGAAGCAATCTACCGTCCTTCCTTAAGAACTTTTTAACTGACAGATATTTCTGTGTTCGGGTTAATAATGCGCTCTCCCCAGACTTTGTCCAAGCTGAAGGTGTCCCCCAGGGATGTGTTCTGAGTACAACACTTTTTCTCCTTGCTATAAATGATTTGGCCTCTAGTCTTCCATCCAATATTTGGTCATCACTCTATGTTGATGACTTCGCTCTTGTTTGTGCAGGCGCTGTCACCTCATTACAGTTTCTCTCCAGCATGCGGTTGACCGTGTTTCTAATTGGGCCACCACACATGGGTTTAAATTTTCCAGTACCAAAACTCACCAAATTACTTTCACTAGACACTCTGTCATTTCCAATCATCCTTTGTACCTTTATGGCTCACGTATCCTTGAATGTGATACAATCAGGTTTCTAGGCCTTCTCTTTGACCGTAGGTTATCCTGGAAACCTCACATTACCTCTCTGAAGGCAACTTGTCATTGCCGGCTGAACCTTCTTAAAAGCGTTGCTCATCTTTCATGGGGAGCTGATCGTCAAACCCTCCTTCGCCTACATTCAGCCCTCATTTTATTGAAACTCGATTATGGTGACCAGATCTATTCAGCGGCCTCTCCTGCTACTCTCTCTAGCCTTAATTCCATCCATCATCAGGGATTACGTTTATGCCTTGGTGCTTTTCGCTCTTCCCCTGTTGAGAGCCTCTATGCAGAAGCGAATGTTCCATCCTTGTCCAATCGCCATGATGCCCATTGCCTTCGCTACTATGTACGCTCTCATGATCTCCGCAATCCTTCCATTTATAGAATAGTCGCCGATTTTAGTAGACATTATTTGTTCGCCGCCCCTGTTTGCTCCGTCCCTTTTCTCTTCGCCTACATTCGCTCTTGTCTTCCCTTCAGTTGCCACCTTTCTATGTTCATGTAGCATCTCACTTTTCCCTACCCCCCTGGGAAGTTCCAGCTGTTCAAGTCTGTTCTTTCTCACTCCCTTGCTCAAAAGCCCAACTACCTACGGTAGCTTCCCGCTCTCTTTTTCTTGACCACTTCCACTCTCATTCTCATGCCATCACAGTGTACACAGATGGCTCTAAGTCTTCTGACGGTGTCGGATTTGCAGCAATGTTTCCGGACAGCGTCGTACTAGGGCATTTACTGTCTTCGGCTAGCATTTTTACGGCTGAATTATACACAAATAACCCGCAGGGTTATTTGTGTATCGTTCCAGTCACGGTATTGTACCTTTTTTTGTTATTTACTGCTGAATTGTATGCCATTCTTGCAGCACTTATCTGTATTGCATCTTTGCCTGTGTCATTTGTGGTTGTCTCAGACTCCCTTAGTGCTTTACAGGCTATACAAAAATTTGATACACCTCACCCCCCTAGTTCTCTGTATCCAACTTTGGTTATGCTGTATCTCTACCAAACATGAAGATATTGTTTTTTGTTGGGTCCCTGGTCATGTTGACATACAGGGCAATGAACAGGCAGACACTGCTGCGCGGTCAGCAGTACATGACCTTCCAGTTTCATATAGAGGTGTTCCATTCACGGACTATTTTGCTGTTATAGCTACACACCTTCACACCTGTTGGCAACAACGCTGGTCTGCTCTGCTCAATAACAAACTTAGTTCTATTAAACCGAGTATAGGTTACTGGCCGTCTTCTTGTCATCAGTGTCAAGGTTGGAAGACTACTCTCTCCCGCTTTCACATTGGCCACACTCGTCTTACTCATGGATATCTCATGGAGTGGCGCCCTGCTCCTCTCTGTGAGAATTGTCAGGTTCCAGTATCGGTCAGCCACATTCTGTTAGACTGCCCACTCTATCAACGAGCACGTAGAATTTACATCCAACGTCATCTTCGCTCTGCTGCTCTCTCTTTACCTTCCCTTCTTGCTGATGGACCCACCTTTCATCCGGACTCTCTCATTGACTTTTTGACAACAACTGACTTACTCTACAAACTCTGATGATGATACCTTTAGCATTCCCCTCAGCCCTTTCTACCTCAATCTCTTGCTACCCTCTACCCCTGCCCCGCTGTTTTCTGTAACCTATTAATCATCCCTCCCGCCTTCTGCCACCCGATACCCTCGCTTCCTTCCCTGCCCTGCAGCACTGTATAGCCCTTGTGGTTTAGCGCTTCTTTTTGTTTATAATAATAATAATACCCACGTAAATGTGTAAGTGTTGCACTCAATTCAAGGGTTACAGTGCATAAAAGCAAACAATGCCAGAGCTGATAAATTAGACACATGTGCAACTCTTGGGTATCTTTATTGAGGAAACGTTTCGCCACACAGTGGCTTCATCAGTCCATACAAAGGAGAAACGTGAAGAACAGGAGGAGAATGAGGTAATCAGTCCCTCAACCTTGAGTCAATGTGGTCAGTCCATCAACCTTGAATAGAATACAGCATATGTGCAGAGAAGTAGCTTATATACCGTAGGCTGGAGAGGTGCAGCAGTCATAGGTGGTGTCACATTTGTCCAATGTGGAAGTAGGTCGTGCCTAAGAGTTAGGCAAGCAAAGAATTCCCAAGTATTAAGATCCCAAGAAGTTGCAGTGTCTGACAGAATTGTAGATGAATGGTTCAGAGAACCGACACGTTGATAAATTAGACACATGTGCAACTCTTGGATATCTTTTTGAGAAAACGTTTCGCCACACAGTAGCTTCATCAGTCCATACAAAGGAGAAACGTGAAGAACAGGAGGAGAATGAGGTAATCAGTCCCTCAACCTTGAGTCGATGTGGTCAGTCCATCAATTTTGAATAGAATACAGCATATGTGCAGAGAAGTAGCTTATATACCGTAGGCAGGAGAGGTGCTTAACCCTTGGGCACAACCTACTTCCACATTGGACAAATGTGACACCACCTATGACTGCTGCACCTCTCCTGCCTACGGTACATAAGCTACTTCTCTGCACATATGCTGTATTCTATTCAAGGTTGATGGACTGACCACATCAACTCAAGGTTGAGGGACTGATTACCTCATTCTCCTCCTGTTATTCACGTTTCTCCTTTGTATGGACTGATGAAGCCACTGTGTGGCGAAACGTTTCCTCAATAAAGATACCCAAGAGTTGCACATGTGTCTAATTTATCAATGTGTCGGTTCTCTGAACCATTCATCTACAATCCTGTCAGACACTGCAACTTCTTGGGATCTTAATACTTGGGAATTCTTCGCTTGCCTAACCCTTGGGCACGACCTACTTCCACACTGGACAAATGTGACACCACCTATGACTGCTGCACCTCTCCTGCCTACGGTACATAAGCTACTTCTCTGCACATATGCTGTATTCTATTCAAGATTGATGGACTGACCACATCGACTCAAGGTTGAGGGACTGATTACCTCATTCTCCTCCTGTTCTTCACGTTTCTCCTTTGTATGGACCGATGAAGCTACTGTGTGGCAAAACGTTTCCTCAATAAAGATACCCAAGAGTTGCACATGTGTCTAATTTATCAACGTGTCGGTTCTCTGAACCATTCATCTACAATGCCAGAGCACTCTAGCTCCTAACCCTTGCTCAACATATATGAGGCAACTCTTCAAACAAGATACAGTAAATTTATTTGAGTTTATTTGAGTTTTTCATTACATTATCAAATACTCATGGTATTACTACAGTAAGTTAGTAATGAATTCTTAAAAAGGTAACTGTCTAGATTATCAAAAGTTTTAGCTTTATACTTTACCTCAAGTCATACAACACTTTGATCAACCTGAAGAATGTTAGAGGTAAATTCTTTCTTTATACGAGAATAGAGACTAAATTTTTCGAGTTCTAACCAAAGCACACCAAGAAGGTCGTTGTTGAACACAATTACTTGGACTGGCACAAAATGTGGGTTCTGAAACCAAAGAAATGCTACTTGGCCAAATCCATGAAACCTGAAAAATAAAAACGTTAATATAATAACTGCTGCACTGAAGCTTCGCTTACTCTAAACATGAGTAAAGACATATATATACGTATATACCTTTTACAGCTTTATAAGAAAAGTAGGGAAATGGGCACAAAAATAAATAAGCTATGATTTCATCATTTAATACATTTTATGAGGCAAGAAAACCAAGAGTTGAATTTGGTTATAGAGTACTAGATCTCCTAGGTAGTAGGATGGTAGACAGCAACCACCCAGGGAGGTACTACCGTCCTGCCAAGTGAGTGTAAAACAGAAGCCTGTACTTGTTTTACATGATGGAGGGATAGCTGGTGTCTATTCTGTCTCAAACATGCAAGATTTCAGGTACATCTTGCTACTTCTACTTACACTTAGGTCACACTACACATGCATGTACAAGCATATATATACACACCCCTCTGGGTTTTCTATTTTCTTACTAGTTTTTTTTTTTTTTTTCAACAAGTCGGTCGTCTCCCACCGAGGCAGGGTGACCCAAAAAAAGAAAGAAAATCCCCAAAAAGAAAATACTTTCATCATCATTCAACACTTTCACCACACTCACACATTATCACTGCTTTTGCAGAGGTGCTCAGAATACAACAGCTTAGAAGCATATACATATAAAGATACACAACATATCCCTCCAAACTGCCAATATCCCAAACCCCTCCTTTAAAGTGCAGGCATTGTACTTCCCATTTCCAGGACTCAAGTCCGACTATATGAAAATAACCAGTTTCCCTGAATCCCTTCACTAAATATTACCCTGCTCACACTCCAACAGATCGTCAGGTCCCAAGTATCATTCGTCTCCATTCACTCCTATCTAACACGCTCATGCACACTTGCTGGAAGTCCAAGCCCCTCGCCCACAAAACCTCCTTTAGCCCCTCTATCCAACCCTTTCGAGGACGACCCCTACCCCTCTTTCCTTCCCCTATAGATTTATATGCTTTCCATGTCATTCTACTTTGATCCATTCTCTCTAAATGACCAAACCACCTCAACAACCCCTCTTCTGCCCTCTGACTAATGCTTTTATTAACTCCACACCTTTTCCTAATTTCCACACTCCGAATTTTCTGCATAATATTTACACCACACATTGCCCTTAGACAGGACATCTCCACTGCCTCCAACCGTCTCCTCGCTGCTGCATTTACCACCCAAGCTTCACATCCATATAAGAGTGTTGGTACTACTATACTTTCATACATTCCCTTCTTTGCCTCCATAGATAACGTTTTTTGACTCCACATATACCTCAACGCACCACTCACCTTTTTTCCCTCATCAATTCTATGATTAACCTCATCCTTCATAAATCCATCTGCCGACACTTCAACTTGTTTTTGTTTATTTCCTTTTATCTCCATGGGGAAGTGGAACAGAATTCTTCCTCCCTAAGCCATGCATGTTGTAAGAGGTGACTAAAATGCCGGAAGCAAGGGGCTAGTAACCCCATCTCCTGTATAAATTACTAAATTTAAAAAGAGAAACTTTCATTTTCCTTTTTGGGCCACCCTGCCTTGGTGAGATACGGCCAGTTTGTTGAAAGAAGAAAGTACGTGCTAGATCTAGGGATTGGGGGTTTACAGTGCATCCTTAATCCAAGGAATTGAATCTGTCCTCTTTTTTTTCATCATGCATTATGACCCTCTTGGGTTTAGTGCTCAATTTGATTATAAATTATTTAATCGCATCAAACCTGATTACCCATTTTCGAGATGCAGTTATGACCTCTACTGGCTTAGCATTTCCCGATTAATATAGTAATACTACTACACTAATAAAAATTAAATGAATGTATGTATTTTCTTCTTTGGGTCACCCTGCTTTGATGGGATATGGCCACTGTGTTAAAAATAATAAAAATTAATAATGTAGTGCATCATTATTATGTAAGCTAATTTGTTCTGTGCATTTTATTAATAATATTATTATTATTATAACATTCATGAGAGCTAAACTTGCAGGGGTCATTCAACACCTAGGGAATGGGTGACATTCAAGTTCGATCCAAGGAAGGGAAGCACAGGTCCAATACCTTAGATCAAGAGCCCCTCACTAGCATCAAGGAACTTCCCTGCAAAGCCACAGAAGCAACCATTTTGCACAAACGTATTTCTTCTTTATTTATGGACGTGGCTAGCCATAGTTTGTTACTGCTAAAGTACCACTTGTTCATGGTTGCATTAATATGTAGACTGCTTGTGTAGGCTGATGTATTAAATGGGAGTAGAATGAAATTAGTTTTTAGCTTACCACAGCTATGTATGTCCTTGCATCATGAAACATGATTAGTGATACTAGGTACATGATGTTTGTAGGAATGCTGGTGTAGTGGTTAGAATGTTGTGCTTCCCAGGAGGTGGGCTAAAACAACACAAGTTCTATCCTCAGCTAGCTGGAGTTTGTTATTGCTAAAATACCACTTATTCATGGTTGTATGAGAGTACAGGGACACCAACACTCTTATAAGGGTGTGAGGCATGGATTGTGAATGTTGCAGCAAGGAGGAGGCTGGAGGCAATGGAGATGTCGTGTCTAAGGGTAATGTGTGGTGTAAATATTATGCAGAGAATTTGTAGTGTAGAAATTAGGAGGAGGTGTGGAGTTGCTAAAAGTATTATTCAGAGGACTGAGGAGGGGTTGTTGAGGTGGTCAAGTCAATTAGAGAGGGTGGAGCAAAATAGGATGACTTGGAGGGTGTATAAATTTGTAGTAGAGAGGTAGGGGTCATCTTAGGAAAAGATGGAGGGAGGGGATAAAAGAGGTTTTGTGTGCAAGGGGCTTGGACATCCAATTGGCATGTGTGAGTGTGTTAGATAGGAGTGAATGAAGACAAATGGTTTTTAGGAGTTGACAAGCTGTTGGAGTATGAGCAGGGTAATATTTTGTGCTGTTGGAGGGTAAGCAAGGTAACATTTATGAAGGGATTCAGGGAAACTCGCAGGCCGGACTTGATTCCTGGAGATGGGAAGTACAGTGCCTGCACTCTGAAGGAGGGGTGTTAATGTTGCAGTTATATAACTGTATTATGGGCATGCCTCTGGCAAGACAGTGAAGGAGTGAATGATAATGAAAGTTTTTCTTTTTCAGGTCACCCTGCCTTGGTGGGAAATGGCTAGCCTGTTAAGAAAAAGAAAAAAATTCAGGGAAACTGGGTAGTTGGACTTATGTCATGGAGGTGGGAAGTGCAATGCCTGCACTTTACAGGAGGGGTTTGGGATATTAGCTGTTTGGAGTGACATCCAAACTGTCATATCTGTACACCTCTGTAAAGACAGTGATTATGCATGAATGATGGTGGAAGTGTTGAGTGATGGTGAAAGTGTTCATTTCTTTTTTTGGGTCACCCTGCCTCAGCAGGAGACGGCTGATGTGTTGGCCCATAATTTTCTGGCATCTGGCCGAGTGAAGAAAGTACAGTGGACCCCCGCATAACGATCACCTCCAAATGCGACCAATTATGTAAGTGTATTTATGTAAGTGCGTTTGTACGTGTATGTTTGGGGGTCTGAAATGGACTAATCTACTTCACAATATTCCTTAAGGGAACAAATTCGGTCAGTACTGGCACCTGAACATACTTCTGGAGTGAAAAAATATCGTTAACCGGGGGTCCACTGTACTACATGTACATACTTTGATGCAGCGTAGTTGGAATCTTGCTGTGGACAGAGAGATAATGTTTGTAAATAATTTTCCCTGTTTGCGATTTGTTAAGCATTTCAAAATCTCTCTTGTTGTTCACTTCACGTGGCAGAATTTGATGAAATAACGTATCACTGGCCTAGTGTCCATGGGTGTGGGAGTGACCGCTTAATCTTGGCTAGGCGCCCATACTTTTCTGGGATCTGACCGAGTGGAGAAGGTACTACATACTTTGATGCAGAGTGTGTAGGTTCGAATCCTGCTGTGGACTGAGAGATAATGTTTGTAAATAATTTTGCCTGTTTGCAAACCGTTAAGGCCAGCATGTTGAACATATATATCTTCTTCTTCTTTCAACAAACCGGCTGTATCCCACTGAAGCAGGGTGATCCAAAAAGAAAAACAAAAGTTGATCTTTTTAAATTTAGTAATTTATACAGGAGAAGGGGTTACTAGCCCCTTGCTCCCGGCATGATAGTCGCCTCTTATGACACACAAGGCTCATAGAGGAAGAATTCTATTCCACTTCCCTATGCAGAATATATATATATTTTTTTTTAACACACAGGCCATTTCCCACTAAGGCAGGGTGACCCAAAAGGAAAGAAAAACCCAAAAAGAAAGAAAAATACTTTCATCATTATTCAACACTTTCACCATCACTCATACATAATCACTGTCTTTGCAGAGGCGCTCAGACACAACAGTGTAGATGTCCCTCCAAACTGCCAATATCCCAAACCCCTCCTTTCAAGCGCAGGTATTGTACTTCCCATTTCCAGGACTCAAGCCCGGCTAACCGGTTTCCCTGAATCCCTTCACAAAATATTACCCTGCTCACACTCCAACAGCTCGTCAGGTCCCAAAAACCATTTGTTTCCATTCACTCCTATCTAACATGCTCACACATGCCTGGTGCATGTCCAAGCCCCTTGCACACAAAACCTCTTTTGGAGTTGCAAAATAAAGAGCAAAGAAAACAAATTTTAACTAACCTGGCTTTACACCTCTCGGGTAAAGGTGTATTACTAGCTTTATGACAGTCAGCAGGAAGAATAAAAACTTGCTCACAAAGTTCAGAGGATGTATGACTAATTTTAGGCTGCACATCTTTCAGGGCAGATATACTTCCTTGGATTTCCACAGAAAGTTTCATTGGGTATTTTAAGAGAATCTTTACTGAGATTTTGCCTGCATAAACATTGGTGTCACCTGTCACCTAATAAGACAAAACTGAAATTAGTTTTATACAGAATTTTTTGCCTGTACATTATTAGCAATCATATTTTTAGCTTACTTTTTGGAAGACATATTTTAGGAAAAAAACTTGCTGACCAAAGTTGCCTATTGATAACATTACCATGAGCAAATGGAGTGTACAGGATTACTAAGCATTCTGCATTCAGTGTAAACAAAATCTACATAATGTGCCCTAATGCCACAACTGCCCAGTCCCACAAACCCAGCCTAGCAAGCATACCATAATCTATTATGTATTAAATAGCCCTATCATCCCAGAGTAAATAAAAACTCCACTTACATGGTTAAAACACAACTCATCCACATTAAAACTTAACATTAAACAGGAGGTAAATAGAAGAAAAAAGGTAAGGAGATGAATAAGAAATGAGTAAAAAAAAATGGGGAGTGGAAAAATAGGAAAAGTGAAACAATGGAGGAGGGATAAGCAACAGAATGAAGAAAGAAAAAGGTATGGGGGAAGGGGGTAATAGAGGTAAAAGACAGAGTTGAGCATTTACTTGCAAAATGCTATAAAATCATTTATTCATATAATTTTACCTTATGTCCATGTATTTCATTTTCATCTTTGTATCTAAAGAGAATCAATTCCAGGCCATGTGAACCATAGGTGCCCTGAAAGAGTCCTGGTGTCATTATGTGCTCTGGGATGGAACCATCTTTTGCTTTCAAAGCATCTGGGACATCGCTTGGAGTTGGTAAAATCAAGGGCATATGAGACAAACCTCTTCTGTTGGAGAAAGAAATGATAAATGTGGCCAAACTAGCACAGTAAAATAATTTTAATATACAATGAGTCCCGATTTACGTTGATTTGTGTACTTATAATATTGGCACTTCAGAACCAGTTACTTGTGCACAGACTCATCCTTCTGAATGGCAGGTCTACTTACAGCCATGGAAATACAGTATCACTTTCAGTGAGCCAGATAACATTAATATTCAATGTAAATACTGTACTGTATACGTACTGTATTTTATTATCATACACACATCGATGAAATATTGCTTGATACTAGTGTATTTGCAACTGAAAAGAAAGAGTACTGAATGTAAAACATTGGGTAAATACGTATTCTTAACTGAATAAATGGAAACAGATAACGACATACAAAATACTGCGAGGAATTGACAAGGTGGACAGAGACAGGATGTTCCAGAGATGGGGCACAGAAACATGGGGGTCACAATTGGAAGCTGAAGACTCAGATGAGCCAAAGGGATTTTAGGAAGTATTTCTTTAGTCATAGAGTTGTCAGGAAGTGGAACAGTCTGGCAAGCGATGTAGTGGAGACAGGAACCATACATAGCTTTAAGACACGAGGTTTGATGAAGCTCATGGAGCAAGGAGAGAGAGAGGACCTAGTAGCAATCAGTGAAGAGACTGGGCCAGGAGCTATGACTCAACCCCTGCAACCACAAATAGACGAGTACAGAGTATTATGGTTTGCAAATGCATTTCTGATTATAACATGGATTAAAGTTTTTCTTCTTCTCTTTTTTAGTAAATGTATACAGGAGAAGGGGTTACTAGCCCATTGCTCCCGGCATTTTAGTCGCCTCATACGACACGCATGGCTTACGGAGGAAAGATTCTTTTCCACTTCCCCATGGACAATAGAAGAAATAAAAAAGAACAAGAGCTATTTAGAATAAGGAGAAAAACCTAGATGTATGTATATATATATATGCATGTGCGTGTCTGTGAAGTGTGACCAAAGTGTAAGTAGGAGTAGCAAGATATCCCTGTTATCTAGCGTGTTTATGAGACAGAAAAAGAAAACCAGCAATCCTACCATCATGCAAAACAGTTACAGGTTTTTGTTTCACAGTCATCTGGCAGGACGGTAGTACTTCCCTGGGTGGTTGCTGTCTACCAACCCTGCCTTGGTGGGAATCGGCCAGTGTGATAATAAAAAAAAAAAAAAAACATGGATTAAGCAAGAACTGAAAAGCATTAGCATTTTCTTTGTGAAATATTTTGGTTGTTTACTCACCCAATCACTTCATTTAAAAATGTCAGATAAATTTTCCTTGGTTCTACACGAAGATCCAGAGTATTGAATCCAAAGTGGTCCCCGATTTTTTGGACATGCATTCCAGAGTTGGAGCAGTACTGAGTCACAACACCCTTCCTCTGAAGAAAATATACATTTAAGGTTCTCAATTTTCTTTAAATTTAAGACAGATACACTGTTATTAAAAAAAAAATAATCCAGAGATATATATGAACATGAAGTCTTAATTAGAAATATGAGCTATTTAAAGTTACAGTAATTAAAACCAAGGATAATAGAAACTTGGATAATTAACTATTACTGCGAGACAAAAAATCTAAAAAGTAGATATCATTGCAAGAAAGAAAGGAAATAGTATATACTGTACTGTGCCTATGTAAAATAATCTGGGCAAGACATCATTGGTAAGAAACAACTGGAGCAGCAGCATTATAAATGTGATCTAAAGGCAAAGATTCAATAAGAAACAATGACTAACCTTGTCAATTTCCAAGGTGCAAGTGTGTGGATATATGTGTGGTATACAAAGACACTTAGGAGGCTCTTCATTGCCATCGATAGTAAAGACAATGCTCTCATTTAGTGGGGCCAATATATTTTGCTCCAATGAAGGTTCCCAGTGCACACCCTCCAGTGAACCAGCCTTGTACTATAAAGTAAGAAAATATATTTAATTTTCTCTAACCTGACGAGTTGCAATTACCATTAATATTTGTGTAGAAGGTAGAAGGTTGTTAGACAGCAACCGCCCAAGGAGATACTACCGTCCTGCCGAGTGTAAAACAAAGGCTTGTAACTGTTTTACACGATGGTAGGATTGCTGGTGTCTTTTTTTCTGTCTCATAAACATGCAAGATTTCAGGTATGTCTTGTTACTTGCATGTACAAGCATATATACACACACACCTCTGGGTTTTCTTCTATTTTCTTACTAGTTCTTGTCCTTGTTTATTTCCTCTTATCTCCATGGGGAAGTGGAACAGAATTCTTCCTCTGTAAGCTATATGTGTTGTAAGAGGCAACTAAAATGCCAGGAGTAAGGGGCTAGTAACCCCTTCTCCTGTATACAGGTCTCCCTCAACATTCGCGAGGGTTAGGGGATCAAGAGCCTCGCAAATGTTGAAAAATTGCGAATGTTTGGTGCCCCAATATATTGTAGGGAAATATAATACAATACTGCTTCCTTAATTTGTTGAACCATGAACAATCATAATTTACATGAGAATGTCATAAAATATTGTACTAAATACATACATGTTATGGTTTAATAACATGTATGTTATTAAATACCACTGCCTCCACCAGTGTCTCAACCACTGCGGCACACTGCTCGTATTTTGATACAATTTCTTTCTTCAATTATATCGTGTTTCTCAATTTCTTTACCAAAGGGCTGGCACTAGCAAGTTTCTTTGGGCCCATGGTTAATTATGTAGCAGTCACACTCAATCTACAAGCACCAAACACAATGAATTATTGTGAAATGTTTGGAAGAGCACGGAGACTAATGCTCACTCCAGCATAATCAAAGCCACACTGACTGACGATGCCTCAACCACTTCTTCCACCACTGCTTCAACCCTCGTATTTTTGCACAATTTCCTTCTTCAATTCTATCGTATTATTATTATTATTATTATTATTAATATAGAATTGAAGAAGGAAATAGTACAAAAATACGAGGGTTGAAGGAGTGGAGGAAGAAGTGGTTGAGGCATTGTCAGTCAGTGTGGCTTTGTTTATGCTGGAGTGAGCATTAGTCTCCACACTCTTCCAAATATTTCACAATAATTCCTTGTGTTTGGTGCTTGTAGATTGAGTGTGACTGGAGTGGTAGAGCCAGCGGTAGAGGTAGCGGTTGAGGCAGTGGTTGAGGCAGCGGTTGAGGCAGTGGTTGAGAGAGTGGTTTTTAATAACATGTTATTAATAATAATAATAATACATGTTATTAATAATAACATGTATTATTATTATTAATAACATATATCTTATTAAATACCACTGCCTCAACAGCTGCCTCAACCGCTGCCTCAACCACTGCCTCTACCACTCTGGTCACACTCAATCTACAAGCACCAAACACAATGAATTATGAAATATTTGGAAGAGTGTGGAGACTAATGCTCACCCCAGCATAAACAAAGCCACACTGACTGACGATGCCTCAACCACTTCTTCCACCACTCCTTCAACCCTCGTATTTTTGTACAATTTCCTTCAATGCTATCGTATTATTATTATTATTATTATTCTTAGGTAGTAGGTTGGTAGACAGCAGCCGCCCAGGGAGGTACTACCGTCCTGCCAAGTGAGTGTAAAACGAAAGCCTGTAATTGTTTTACATGATGGTAGGATTGCTGGTGTCCATTTTTCTGTCTCATAAACATGTAAGGTTTCAGGTACGTCTTGCTACTTCTACTTACACTTAGGTCACACTACACATACATGTACAAGCATATATATACACACCCCGCTGGGTTTTCTTCTATTTTCTTACTAGTTCTTGTTCTTGTTTATTTCCTCTTACCTCCATGGGGAAGTGGAACAGAATTCTTCCTCTGTAAGCCATGCGTGTTGTAAGAGGCGACTAAAATGCCAGGAGCATGGGGCGAGTAACCCCTTCTTCTGTATATATTACTAAATGTAAAAGGAGAAACTTTCGTTTTTCCTTTTGGGCCACCCCACCTCGGTGGGATACGGCCAGTGTGCTGAAAGAAGAAGAATTATTATTATTATTATTATTATTATTATTAGCAGTAGCAGAAATGTTTGATTCTTTGCCATGTTCGAGAGTAAACATATGATGTCACCATCCAATACCTGTCCGAATAGCCATTCCAATATTCAGTCATGAATGGGTTGACATTATTTATACTGTAGTTTAATAGCAAATAATGAACAAACAAAACACTCAGTACACTGAGTAGTGGGAGGGCTGGCTGCCAGTTTTGGGGATCAGAGGGAGGGGAGTAGGGACTCGCGGGTGGCAAAAAACTTAAATATGATTTGGTGGCTGGGAATTTGGCAGTTGGGAATTCACGAATGTGTGAAGTCCGCAAAAGTTGAAAATGCGAATGTATAGGGAGACCTGTATATTACTAAATGTAAAAGGAGAAACTTATGTTTTTCCTTTTGGGCCACCCTGCCTCGGTGGGATACGGCTGGTGTGTTGAAAGAAGATTTGTGTACATATAAATTTTAAAGTGCACAACAAACTTCTACACTTATCTCTCTAGTATTTCTACACTTTTTTTTTTTCAACATACTGGCCGTCTCCCACTGGGGCAGGGTGACTCAAAAAAGAAAGAAACACTTTCACTATCATTCAACTCTCTCACCATCATTCACACATAATCACTGTCTTTGCAGAGGTGCACAGATATGACAGTTCAAATGTCACTTATCACTGCTTTTAGATTTAACCATTTACTATACATACTGTACTTGTATAATCAAACTATGTAACCAATGTGTGAATTAAGTTCCTTAAATTACTCCTTGCTCAAAACTATGTGTATAAAGGTATGATGCACAGTCAGAAACAGGAAGTGCAGTTACAAAGTTATTACCATGCCTCAAATGAGAGGGTATTTGGCATTATTTGTTCGATGACAGGACAAAGTGAAGTTGACATATGTAGGCCTGTTTCCAGTCATGACCTGATACATATTGTAGACATTCTGCAGTGTCTATGAGATGGTAAAAATAATTTTATGTACAACTTGTAGCTCTTTCATATACAATCAACAAACCTAATCGGCTTGTCACATTTGTTCACCATACGTGTAATCCATGACAGCAGCTATAAAGAGAATATTTAAAGAACATTTAAACTGTTGCATCTGTGCTCCTCTGGCAAGACAATGATAGGGTAAATGATGGTGAAATTGCATTTTTTTCCCAGGTCACCCTGCCTGAGTGGGAGATGGCCAGCATGTTAAAAAAATATCATCTCTGACTTACAATATTTTCAACTTATGATGGGTTCATTGGAACATAACCCCATCATAAGTCGAGGAACACCTGTATACTGTGCACACTGACCAGACAGACCTGTTTTCTTATGTCTAGGCCTCTAGTACCAAATCTGAAGGCATTATGATTTACACATAGATCTCCAGTACTGACACTGACCCCAGTGATGTAGATCTACGTAACTGACATAAACCTGGCCCCACTCAACTTCAAAGAAGCCATTGATAATATGCTTATGCACTCTGCCCCAGACTCACGGAACTCCATGTTCATAAAAAATTGAAAGAGCTCACTATCATGTGCCTTCAATATTCTAAGGAATCTGGACACTGGAGTCATCCCATAATCATTAAAACTTCTGATATAGTGCCACTCTACTAAGGTATCAAAAGCAAATGCAGCTAACCATAGGCTGACAGCACATATGTCCCATGTTGCCCACCCAGGGCAACATGAGTTCAGAGCAGATTACTTCTGCTTCTTGCAATTGTTGGACCATTATGACTTGGTCTTGAATGCACTGGAAGTCAAGCAAATATAGTGTACACAGACTTTGCAAAAGCCTTTGACAAGTGTGACCATGGTATAATAGTGCACAAAATATGTGCAAAATGAATAACTGGAAAGTGGAGAGATGGATATTTAACTTTTTACCAAATAGAACCCAAAAGTAATAGTGAACAGGATAAAAATCAAGAGGCTGTCACAGTGAAGACCTTTGTCCCCCAACGCACAGTACCTGACCCAATTCTCTTTTTCATTCTCATATCCAGCATAGACAAGAGACATAAATCATAGCACTGTATTATCATATGCAGATAATACTAGAATTTATATGAGTGTCAGCCTCAATATTGAGGACACAAATCAAGCCAATATAAACTAAGTCTTTCCGTGAGTAACTGACAACAATATGATGCTCACTTAGGACAAATTTCAATTCTTCTGCTGTTAAAAAATTGAGGCTATAAAAACTGATATGAAGTACACAACATACAAGGATCACAGCAATATTATCACAGCTGCAAGAAAATGATTGGCTGGATAACTACGTACTAGTAAAATTATCATGAGAATCCAAGCCACTGTTGAAACTTTTCAAGTTGCTCTCACTAGGATGGAATATCGCTGTATACTAACAACTTGTTTTAAGGTGGATAAAACTGCAGAGTCCATATAAACTTAGTCAAACACTGAAATTACTAAGAATGCTTGAAGTCTCTCAAGTCCCCTCACACTGTACTAAGATACATCAAAATTTACACCTGGAAAATTCTAAAGGAATTGGTCCCAGTTTTTTTAACACACTAGCTGCCTCCCATTGTGCACTGTCTGCCAAGAGGCTTGGTGCAAAATTACCTCTGCTGACAAGCGAACATCCGCCAAGTATGCCAGGAGACAACTCAATAAGTGTAAAGGGACAGAGAGTTTTCAATATCCTCCCTTCAAACACAAGAGGGATTACTAGCAGACCTCTAGTCATTTTCAAAAGAAACTTGAAAAGTTCCTCAAATCAGTTCCTGATCAGCTGGGCTGTGGTGCACACAATGGACTCCATACCTGGAATATGTGGCTAATACCAACAGCCTAGCTGATCAGGCCAATTACCAAGAGTCCTAGGTTGGGATTAGGTGCCAGGGGCATTGACCCCCAAAGTCATCTCCAGGTAAATATGATAAGAGAACCAGTACATGGAATGGTGAGTATATAATGGTAATCATTCAAATTATAGTAAGGAAACCAGTGTCATGGAGGAAATTTGAAAATTCTACCTCATAGGCAATTTATATATCTTTTGCCTGCATAAGCCTTAATAACTAAATATTACACTCTTGTACACAGCACTGATTCTAATTGTTTTAGTCATCCAAAGCCAAAATGTAGGGCTGAAATACTGCTTACAAAACTAAGTACATACTGACTCTTTGCAGGGTTAAAAAATTGTATCTGGCATGGTATTCAAGATCCAATACAAACCCTAATTTCGACGAGTCCACAACAAGGAGCAACTTGAGACTGATAGACCCCCAACATATATCCATATCTGTGCAGCACTGAAAGGAAAAACTATATTAATAATAGTACTACTTAACTTCTACATGTCTAATATTTTTCTGTACAGTAAAACCTCTCATTAGCAGACTAAAATTAATATTTAATAATCGTCCTGTTTTCTGAAGTACAAAGGACCCCACTTATACAGCAGATTAGATTCCAGGCTACTGCTATAAAGCAAAAAATCACTGTAAAGTGAATCATAGCCTTTTTTCACTTTCAAATGCATATAAAAACCTGATAACATGTTTATGCTATCATATATTAAGTGTACAATATAACAAAGCCTAAAAAATGCATATACAGTATACACAATACAGGTTGGCCATCACTAATCTGGCAGTCAGTTATCCGGTTCCATTAGTAATCCGGCACTAATTTCAGTTAGCATAATTTCAAATTTCATCATTATACTGACTCAAATTTCATCACTATACTGACTCAGAAATTGTGAAGATGGTTGTAAATCCACAGCAGCAAGCCAGTGGAGGAGAAAGCAGTGATGAAAATGAGGAAGATTTTTGCCTAGTATGGGCCAGCAGGCCTCCTGCAGTGTTCCTCCTTTCTTATGTTCTTATGTTCTTATGTAAAGTCTCTATTGATAGGTTAATTAAGTGTATTCTAACCTAACCACTCTGTAATCTGGCAAACTCACTAATCCGGCACACTACAGGTCCCAATGATGCCAGATTAGTGATGGCCATCCTGTACTTACTTTAAAATATTTTCGTCCTTATAGTGAGTGGTGAATACAGTGGACCCCCGGTTAACGATATTTTTTCATTCCAGAAGTGGCTCTGGTGGCCTGGTGGTTAACGCTCTCGCTTCACACGGCGAGGGCCTGGGTTCGATTCCCAGCCAGAGTAGAAACATTGGACGTGTTTCTTTCCACCTGTTGTCTATGTTCCCCATCAGTAAAATGGGTACCTGGGTGTTAGTCGACTGGTGTGGGTCGCATCCTGGGACACTGACCTAAGGAGGCCTGGTCACAGACCGGGCCGCGGGGGCGTTGACCCCCGGAACTCTCTCCAGGTACACTCTCTCCAGGTAAACTCAGGTGCCAGTACTGACCGAATTTGTTCCCATAAGGAATATTGTGAAGTAGATTAGTCCATTTCAGACCCCCAAACATACACGTACAAACGCACTTACATAAATACACTTACATAATTGGTCGCATTCGGAGGTGATCGTTATGCGGGGGTCCACTGTATATTTATTGTAGGAAGTCTCAATAAATGAAGAATGGCTATACGTAATTGAAAACCGCTGTATTAGTGAAACGCTGTAAACAAAGCACTGTAAACCGGTGCCTGCCTGTAGTGGATTTAGTCTGCTGATGCAAAAAACAACCAGACACAAAGAATATGAGTATTGTAACCAGTAGTACTTTGGGACAGTACTGTACTGTATAGTAATTTTATAATAGTCTGTGTAACTTACAGCAATTTTACTTTTCTTTTGCTGGAGGAGAAATGAGGTGTAAACTGCTTTGAGCAATAGTGGTTCTTATGCTTCCCTGGAAGCTTCTATAAAGGGAGATGGCCATAACAGACATGATTTCAGATGGCCTTTTCTAAATATTCACTATTCACATGTTTTAATCTTTTTATGCCCCCATGGTTCCTTTTCTATGAGTTATCACATTGCATTTTAAGTCTCGTGCAGGAAAAATGTAATCTACAAAACACTTGTCCTACTGATGGTTGCATTACACTTTGGCACTTTCCATTTTTCTAGATAAAACCCAGTTAAAAGTCTTACAATCTGAAGCACATAAGGCTAGCAAAATAAAAAACTATATACAGGTGTTCTTTAACTTACAATATTTCGACTTTACAATGGTGCAAGAGCAATTACTTTGGAGATAAAACTTAAGATAATTACCCAGCATGAAGGTGGTAAGTCCATAACTTGTATTAATTTATTTGTTTATTTACTTATTCAGTGACTAGTTATTTATTTACTTACTTATTTATTTAGCATATCATATTTATATTTTGACTTACGATAGGTTTGTTGAAATGTAACTCCCATCAAGAGTAAAGAAGCACCTGTATAAGCCTACAATATTGTTAAAAAAAATACAATATACAGGATACAGATATCCAGCATAGATTTGATCCTGATATTAGTATATACAGCACGTTTTACTGTGATTACAAACAGATGGTTCCGCTTCTTTATAAAAGTTCAGGCATGTAAAAAAGCGTGCTGTACCAGAGCTAGGGACGACATAACAATGACTTGCAGATACTCACAGGACCTTATAAGGTGGACAGGTAAAGGCTGTTATAAGCACACAGTTGGAAAACAAAAAGAAAAGTAATTAAATAATAATAATAATAATAAAAATAGTAATAATAAAAATAGTAATAATAAAAATAATAATAATAATAATATCTTTATTTCTACAAGTACATGTACAAGGTATACAGGTCTAGCTGACATCAATGACATACTAATATATATATAGAAAGCCCCTTGTTATGCAGAGCATTTCTTGCAAATTAGGTCAATTTTGTTGCAGGATGAGACCTACACCAGTTGACTAACCCAGGTGCCCAGTTTACTGATGGGTGAACATGGACAGCAGGTGTCTTATAGAAACATGTTCTAATGTTTTCCAGCCGTACTGGGGGAATGATCCCTGACCTCAGTGTGTGAGCCGAGTGCGCTAGCGATTGAGGTATGGGACACCCCCACAGTCATGTCAGGAAATACAGTACAGTGGACCCCCGGTTAACGATATTTTTTCACTCCAGAAGTATGTTCAGGTGCTAGTACTGACCGAATTTGTTCCCATAAGAAATATTGAGAAGTAGATTAGTCCATTTCAGACCCCCAAACATACACGTACAAACGCACTTACATAAATACACTTACATAATTGGTCGCATTCGGAGGTAATCGTTATGCGGGGGTCCACTGTACTGTATTTCTTCAGCCTCAGTAAAATGCCCTGAACAAAGAGGTAGTGGAACAGTTTTAATCATAGGAATGTTGCAGGTTAGAGGGTCATTTGAAATATGTCTGTACTTCTGAAAAGATGACTGTTGAATGAACGATGATGAAGGCTTCTTTTTTTTTGGGGGGGGGGGAGGAGGAGGATGCCAACTTGGTACAGAGTGAACCTAGTCACAGACAGTTAAAGAGGCAGGGCCAGGAGCCAAGACTGAATTCTTCACAAATCCTACACACCCATTTTACTATATAACAAGTCACTCACAAAATTTTTATGTTAAAAGCTTACTTGACCTGGAAGCACACTAAATACCTATTTGACCTGGAAGCACACTAAATATAGTTCCTGCTCTTTCTTCATGTTGCTTCTCAAAGACTTGTAAAAAATCACTTTGTGAAATATGTTCTATCATAAAGGTACTACTGAGCATGCAATTTTATTTGATGTAAACAGTTCATTATCAGTTCAATCTAGGTATTACTGTACATGTACTGTAATTAACAATTCAAAAGAATCAACAATGATTACTGCAAATTAAGCATCAGTATGTTTTTCTGCACAAATTTTTTAACCATCATTGTACTTACGGTTTGTATAAAGCTTCCGATATTTATCTATGGGTCCAAGCTCAGGTTGATCAATGCTGAAATCTAGAAAAGATTCAATATTTAATCATGGGAAAAAATCACCAAGTGCACTTATACTAACCTTGCAATATCTGAGAGTATAAAGATATATATTAACACATCACTGCTAAATAGCTGATAATATATCTAATTTCTGAAAGGCAGGTAAATAAGCAAATGTCTCTGATAAATGAAAACTACTAAAGGCATGGTTAATTAAAGAATATTTAAAATAATACAGCAAAATGATGATACGATATAAAACTGGATTATAGCATAAAGCTAGTCACCTGTAAAATAAAACGTGTATTTTTTCAAAAACATTTCAATATAAACATAGTACTGTACAAGAGATCCAAGATTTACAAACATCTGAACATTTAATGCAGAATCAAGATCTACGTAGAATATTATAAAATTTGACTGATCATACGAGAAATGCTCAAAGGGTACATAAAAAGTGTGATTTAAAAGTGTATGCCTGGGTAAGATGAAAAAAAGCAGATAAAAGCAAAGACAAAATATTACAGAAATGATAAACAGTAATACAATGGTGTATAAATTATAAAGTAGTATATGTTTTTCTAGAATAATGAAAGCACTTGGGTTTCTGAGATAGTACACTTAAAATTTTTATTATACTGCAGCATCCAGCAGAAATGAGGCACTGCTGTTGTATTAAGGGCTATATATATTCTAAAGTAGGGAATTTTCCAAATTGAAATACATACACAATCTTCATTCATTTAAAAAAATAATTTTAATACAATCTGAAATTTTTAAAAAATTCATCAAGAGTTTGCCTATTTGAAAAAAAAAAAAAAAAAAAACTGGAATTGTAAAGAGTTTTCCTAATTAAAATTTCCCAACATATATTATGTACTTATTGTCTCCACCCTTTTAAATAATATAGAATCTGTAGCCATATTTTAAAAAAAGTTATAAATCACATATGCTGGTTTCACCCTCACAAATAAAGCAGTTACCAAATGTTTGCTTTAAGAACTTATTCAATGAACGATTAAGTTACTTAAGCAAACTATACAGGAAAAAATAAATATATGATACAAAAGTAATTCAGTTACAGCAAAAAATATTACCTCTCCAACATAAATATTTCCAGAGATGCTCATCTGAAGTCAACTGATGGAAGAGACTGCAAGTTGAAGCAAGAGCAGCCAAATCTCGAGCTTTGCACCACCGTAAAATAAAAACCAACACTTCACGTGGTAGCTCAGTAAGACAACAACTTGACATTGTTACTGTAACTTGTTTGCAGAAGTCTCTCTGCAGAAAGTTAGCATGGAAATGTCTTAAGAAAATGCTAAATACTCAAGAAAATTTATGCATTTCACTCTCCAGGAGCTTTATCAAGCCCTAACGGCTTGACAAGCCATAATGCCTTGACAAAGCTCCTGGAGAGCAAAATGTTGCCACAATAAAATGTCACATTAGTTGCAACTGTGTCCTCTTACCTAACATATTGTTGGTAGTTCTACCAACATTAATGCAATTATTTATTTAGAAGGTTGCTGCCTGAAATATTCATGCATGTTAGTGGCTTTCTTTGGCTTAACAATATTTTACTACATATTACTACATGTTTACTACATATTAACTACACAAAGAAATAATTTTTGGAAATTTTAATTTGAATTTGAACAATGTGCAGGGGGGGTAACAGATGCAAGATGTGCCCATATATCTCGACTCACATAGGATTGACCCAGGTTCACTGTTTAGGCATTACCACTGAGCTATGAGCCATCCTTCTATCTTGCACCAACTGAGCCCTCGGAAGTCACCGAGATTATAAAGTCACTTAAAAACAACTCAGGGAATCTGTCTAATGTCCCACCATTACTGTATAAGCGAGCGGCCCATATCCTTTCGCATGCTATTTCATTACTTTTTAACAAGTCACTAGAAACTAGCACCTTCCCGAAACTACTCAAGATGGCAAGGGTTACACCAATACATAAAGGTGGTGACCCTACAGACTTAAACAACTATAGGCCAATATCACACTTACCATTGCTATCCAAAATCTTTGAGAAAATCGTGCACAGGAGACTATATTCATTTATAACAGCACAAAACATACTCAACCCCTGCCAATTTGGATTTAGGAAAAATAAAAGCACTAATGATGCAATCATAAAAATGCTAGATCTGCTTTACACAGCATTGGAAAATAAGGAATATCCACTAGGAATTTTTATTGACCTAAGAAAAGCTTTTGACACAGTAGACCACGACATCCTACTCCACAAACTTGACCATTACGGTATAAGAGGCCATGCGCTTGCTTATTTCAAATCTTACCTTACTAATAGGTATCAGTATGTTACCATTAAAGACACAGCATCAACAACACGGCCACTTGATACTGGAGTTCCGCAGGGAAGTGTCCTTGGTCCCCTGCTCTTCCTCATATACATCAATGATCTTCCAAATGTATCCCAACACCTGAAGCCCATTCTCTGACAAAACCTACTATATTATGTTTGGTAGCAGAGCAGGAGATGCACAAATTAACATTAAGATCGACAACACTCTAATTACCAGACATAATGAGGGCAAATTCCTAGGCCTATACCTTGACAACAACCTGAATTTCAGCACCCATATCCAACACATAACCAAAAAAGTATCCAAAACAGTTGGGATCCTCTCCAAGATACGATACTATGTGCTGCAAAATGCCCTTCTCACACTATACCACTCACTTATTTATCCATACCTCACCTATGCTATTTGTGCTTGGGGATCAACTGCAGCAACACACCTAAAGCCAATAATAACCCAACAAAAAGCTGCAGTAAGAATAATCACTAAATCCCATCCCTGGCAACACACCCCCCCACTCTTCATAGATCTAAACTTACTCCCTGTTCAGTACATCCACACTTACTACTGTGCAATCTACATCTACAGGACCTTAAACTCCAATATCAACCCTGACCTAAAATGCTTTCTTGATAGTTGTGACAGAACCCACAGGCATAACACCAGACACAAACATCTCTACGACATTCCCCATGTCTGACTAAACCTTTACAAAAATTCAATGTATGTCAAAGGCCCTAAAATCTGGAACACCCTACCTGAGAACTCTAGAACTGCAGACACATTCATCACCTTCAAAACTACCATTAGAAAACATCTTATCTCCCTGATAAACCCCATCAACTAACTACACGAATACCACCTGGTGGTTCACACTTACACTCACTCACTCATTTGACCATAAACAGAAATATTAATCTCAATCTTAAAATAATGAATCCTATAATACTCCAATACTGAAACTATGTACTGTGCCAAAACAAAAGCATTCACATTGCTAAACTCACAAACTAGTATTTAGTCACTTAGCCATAATACCAACTTACCTCATAATTTGTAATATTTTAAAATAAAGAATTAAACTAAGTCTGCCCGAAATGCCTAGCCATGCTAGGCGTTCTAGTGGTACACTCTGTAATCATTATTTAACTATATGTACACCACATAACAACCAAATTCTGTAAATTCAACATTGTAATCTTTATAGAGAATACACTTTGAATTTGAATTTGAATCTATTTTGTATTGTACTACTAACAAAATATCTTAGAATATTAAAAATATATCCTAGGTTAAGACATCATAACATGCCACTCTGATACTATGTCTATATTGTATTGCATTGCTTTATTCATGTCATATTGACAGATGTTCTTAAAAATAATGTTTGATCTTTTTAAGTTGGTTGTAATATTCTCAAAATTATTAGAGGCATACAGTAGTGATAAATGAACATTTAACTAAAGATAACTCATCCAATATTAATACAAATTATGTGTATGTATTTAACATATAAAGAATGATATAAGTAATTATCTTCTGGGTCAAGGCATGGCTGGCAAACAGGTAACAGACAATTTGCATAAATGAAAAGAAATCAGAATGGGGACTCATTACAAGTAGTGTGCCACAAGAGGTCAGAATTAGGACCCATTTTCACAATCTACATTAACAATGTGGATGAAGGAATAAATAACGGCATAAGTTTGCTGATGATATTAAAATTGGCCATCAAATAATTTCTGATGAAGACACCAGAAAGCTAGAGGATGACCTGGATAGGTTGATGCTATGATCATAAAAATGCAAAATACAGTTTATTGTTGAGAAAATAAGTATGGCACTTATATGAAGATAATGTATTATTATTATTATTATAATAAAAAAAAAGTGCTAAACTGAAGATAATATAGATTTCAGTCAAACTGAAAGTGAAAAAAGATTTAATTCTCATTAGATGAAATTTAAGGCTAAGACAATGCTGCATAAATGTACGTTTCCTTTAACAAGCTGGAATTACCTAGCATGGACCACTACGCCTACTGCTGTCTTCTTTTATTCTTATGTTCTTAAACTCCCAAATATAACATCACTGAAGCCAGAACTTTGGGTAGCCTTAGAAACTGGTTAGACGGGTTGGTGTAGTTGGGAGTTAGACCTGCCTAGCCTGGGCCAGGATGCTAACTACAGCTCTCCTCCATTAATTTTTAATGTAATAATATTACCTTGAGTTCCACCTAATTATTAATATTATTATTATAATCAAAACTAAGCGCTAAATCACCAGGGTCAAGTTCCACCTACAAGATCGTACATAAAATTTATTTGTTCATGAAAGTCTTTAATTAGATTTTAATTTTCATCACTCATGCCTATATTTTCTGAAATTATAATTAACATTATTACAGTACCTTTCTGTAAAATGTATTATTGGCTTCTTTGTAGTTTTATAAAGAGCAACTCAGGATGACCTACTACCCTGCCTGCCAATTTGACAGGAAATTTAGAGTCAAGTGACTTTCTTGATGCGATTCAGGATTGTTTTTTAAAACAGTTTGTGACAGAGCCAACTAGAGGAAATAACCTGCTTGACTTGGTTCTTGCCAGCAGGGAAATGCTAATTAATAATCTTGAGGTTAATGATAAGCTTGGAGGAAAGTGATCACAAATCACTCAGTTTTAATATATCATGGAATTCCCCTAATAATGGCAATCAAGTCTCTGTCCCTGACTTCCACTTGGCTGATTTCAAAGGGCTGAAAAATTACTTGGGTGGGCTGAACTGGAATGACATGACTATGGGTCAGGTCATTCCAAATAGGGAAATCAGATCAAGCAAAAATGATCCTAAATGGATGAACAATAGATTAAAACATCTCACTGGTCAAAAGAGAGGCATATATAGGCAAATCAAAAGAGGAGAGGTGCAATTAAGAAATTAATATATTCAGTTAAAGAGAGAAATAAAAAAGGGTATTCCACAGGAGTCAGTGTTGGGCCCCCTGCTGTTCATAAACGACATTGATGAGGGCATAAAGAGCGACATAGCAAGTTTGCCAATGACACCAAAATAGGCCGTCGAATTCATTCTGACGAGGACATTAGGGCAATCCAGGAAGATTTGAGTAGACTGATGCAGTGGTCGGAGAAGTGGCAGATGCAGTTTAATATAGACAAATGCAAAGTTCTAAATGTTGCACAGGAAAATAACCATGCCACATATAAACTAAATAATGTAGATCTTAATATTACGGATTGTGAAAAAGATTTAGGAGTTCTGGTTAGCAGTAATCTGAAACCAAGACAACAGCGCATAAGTGTTCGCAATAAAGCAAACAGAATCCTTGGCTTTATATCAAGAAGCATAAATAATAGGAGTCCTCAGGTTGTTCTTCAACTTATATATCCTTGGTTAGGCCTCATTTAGATTATACTGCAGTTTTGGTCACCGTATTACAGAATGGATATAAATGTTCTGGAAAACGTACAAAGGAGGATGACAAAGTTGATCCCATGTAACAGAAGCCTTCCCTATGAGGATAGACTGAGGGGCCTGAATCTGCACTCTCTAGAAAGGTGTAGAACTAGGGAGGATATGATTGAGGTGTATAAATGGAAAACAGGAATAAATAAAGGGGATGTAAATAGCGTGCTGAAAATATCTAGCCTAGACAGGACTCGCAGCAGTGGTTTTAAGTTGGAAAAATTCAGATTCAGGAAGCATATAGGAAAGTACTGGTTTGGTAATAGAGTTGTGGATGAGTGGAACAAACACCCGAGTACAGTTATTGAGGCTAAAACGTGTAGTTTTAAAAATAGGTTAGATAAATACATGAGTGGGTGTGAGTTGGACCTGACTAGCTTGTGCTACAGTTGCCGTGTTCCTTCCTTAAGTGAATGTGACCTGACCTGACAAGGTTGGGACATTGGCTTAAGCCGGTAGAAGACTTGGACCTTCTACGGGCAAGAAGGCCTATTACAGTGTTTCTTTATATCTTATGTTCTTATTCGTAGTAGTAGTATTATGATATTCAAAACCGAGCACTAAACAGTCTTGCCTACCAATGTTGTTGTGGTTATCTAGGGTCACCAAAGCTGATGTTTTAAGCTCTACCACCTGGAGAGTCCGGGAAAAATGTTGTACCAAATTTACGGGGCTAAAAGAAATTTATTATTTTTATTATAAAAAACAAGCGCTAACAAATGGTTATACAGCGCTAGGCAACAAAAGAAAAAAAGTTAGAAGAGGTGGACCCCAGGCCTAAACACCGGCAGAGTCAGGTGTCACACTCCCTGGGGAAACACATGTCACGTAGTTCAAATTCAAATTCAAAGTTTATTGGGTTGGTAGCGCACTCAGCTCACACACTGAAGTCCGTAGTTCGATGCCCGGTACAGTTGGAAACCTAGGACGTGTTTCCTTAAGGCAACTGTTGTTCCTATTTACGTATCAGTGACACAGGTACCTGGGTGTTAGTCGACTGATGTGGGTCGCATCCTGGAGTTTACCTGGAGTTTACAAGATAAGATAAGATAAGATTTCGTTCGGATTTTTAACCCCGGAGGGTTAGCCACCCAGGATAACCCAAGAAAGTCAGTGCGTCATCGAGGACTGTCTAACTTATTTCCATTGGGGTCCTTAATCTTGTCCCCCAGGATGCGACCCACACCAGTCGACTAACACCCAGGTACCTATTCGCTGCTAGGTGAACAGGACAACAGGTGTAAGGAAACGTGTCGAATGTTTCCACCCGCCGGGAATCGAACCCGGGCCCTCCGTGTGTGAAGTGGGAGCTTTAGCCACCAGGCCACCTGGAGAGAGTTCCGGGGGTCAACGCCCCCGCGGCCCGGTCTGTGACCAGGCCTCCTGGTGGATCAGAGCCTGATCAACCAGGCTGTTGCTGCTGGCTGCACGCAAACCAACGTACGAGCCACAGCCCGGCTGATCAGGAACTGACTTTAGGTGCTTGTCCAGTGCCAGCTTGAAGACTGCCAGGGGTCTGTTGGTAATCCCCCTTATGTGTGCTGGGAGGCAGTTGAACAGTCTCGGGCCCCTGACACTTATTGTATGGTCTCTTAACGTGCTAGTGACACCCCTGCTTTTCATTGGGGGGATGGTGCATCGTCTGCCAAGTCTTTTGCTTTCGTAGTGAGTGCTTTTCGTGTGCAAGTTCGGTACTAGTCCCTTTGGATTTTCCAGGTGTATATAATCATGTATCTCTCCCTCCTGCATTCCAGGGAATACAGGTTTAGGAACCTCAAGCGCTCCCAGTAATTGAGGTGTTTTATCTCCGTTATGTGCGCCGTGAAAGTTCTCTGTACATTTTCTAGGTCGGCAATTTCACCTGCCTTGAAAGGTGCTGTTAGTGTGCAGCAATATTCCAGCCTAGATAGAACAAGTGACCTGAAGAGTGTCATCATGGGCTTGGCATCCCTAGTTTTGAAGGTTCTCATTATCCATCCTGTCATTTTTCTAGCAGATGCGATTGATACAATGTTATGGTCCTTGAAGGTGAGATCCTTTGACATAATCACTCCCAGGTCTTTGACGTTGGTGTTTCGCTCTATTTTGTGGCCAGAATTTGTTTTGTACTCTGATGAAGATTTAATTTCCTCATGTTTACCATATCTGAGTAATTGAAATTTCTCATCGTTGAACTTCATATTGTTTTCTGCAGCCCACTGAAAGATTTGGTTGATGTCCGCCTGGAGCCTTGCAGTGTCTGCAATGGAAGACACTGTCATGCAGATTCGGGTGTCATCTGCAAAGGAAGACACGGTGCTGTGGCTGACATCCTTGTCTATGTCGGATATGAGGATGAGGAACAAGATGGGAGCGAGTACTGTGCCTTGTGGAACAGAGCTTTTCACCGTAGCTGCCTCGGACTTTACTCTGTTGACGACTACTCTCTGTGTTCTGTTAGTGAGGAAATTATAGATCCATCGACCGACTTTTCCTGTTATTCCTTCAGCACGCATTTTGTGCCGCTATTACGCCATGGTCACACTTGTCGAAGGCTTTTGCGAAGTCTGTATATATTACATCTGCATTCTTTTTGTCTTCTAGTGCATTTAGGACCTTGTCGTAGTGATCCAATAGTTGAGACAGACAGGAGCGACCTGTTCTAAACCCATGTTGCCCTGGGTTGTGTAACTGATGGGTTTCTAGATGGGTGGTGATCTTGCTTCTTAGGACCCTTTCAAAGATTTTTATGATATGGGATGTTAGTGCTATTGGTCTGTAGTTCTTTGCTGTTGCTTTACTGCCCCCTTTGTGGAGTGGGGCTATGTCTGTGTTTTTAGTAACTATGGGACGACCCCCGTGTCCATGCTCCCTCTCCATAGGATGGAAAAGGCTCGTGATAGGGGCTTCTTGCAGTTCTTGATGAACACAGAGTTCCATGAGTCTGGCCCTGGGGCAGAGTGCATGGGCATGTCATTTATCGCCTGTTCGAAGTCATTTGGCGTCAGGATAACATCGGATAGGCTTGTGTTAATCAAATTTTGTGGCTCTCTCATAAAAAATTCATTTTCATCTTCGACTCTCAGTCTGGTTAGCGGCTTGCTAAAAACTGAGTCATATTGGGACTTGAGTAGCTCACTTATTTTCTTGCTGTCATCTGTGTAGGACCCATCTTGTTTAAGTAGGGGCCCAATACTGGACGTTGTTCTCGATTTTGATTTGGCATAGGAGAAGAAATACTTTGGGTTTCTTTCGATTTCATTTATGGCTTTTAGTTCTTCCCGCGATTCCTGACTCCTAAAGGATTCTTTTAACTTAAGTTCGATGCTTGCTATTTCTCTGACCAGTGTCTCCCTACGCATTTCAGATATATTGACCTCTTTTAGCCGCTCTGTTATTCTTTTCCGTCGCCTGTAAAGGGAGCGCCTGTCTCTTTCTATTTTACATCTACTCCTCCTTTTTCTTAGAGGAATAAGCCTTGTGCATACATCGAGTGCCACCGAGTTAATCTGTTCTAGGCATAAGTTGGGGTCTGTGTTGCTTAGTATATCTTCCCAGCTTATATCGGTTAGGACTTGGTTTACTTGGTCCCACTTTATGTTTTTGTTATTGAAGTTGAATTTGGTGAATGCTCCCTCGTGACTAGTCTCATTATGTCGGTCTGGGGCTCCACGCATACATGTCTGAACCTCAATTATGTTGTGATCTGAGTATATTGTTTTTGATATGGTGACATTTCTTATCAGATCATCATTGTTAGTGAAGATGAGGTCTAGTGTATTCTCCAGTCTAGTAGGCTCTATTATTTGCTGGTTTAAATTGAATTTTGTGCAGAGATTTAAAAGCTCGTGTGAGTGTGAGTTTTCATCAGAGCTGCCTCCTGGTGTTATTACTGCAACAATATTATTTGCTATATTCCTCCATTTTAGGTGCCTTAAGTTGAAATCCCCCAGGAGCAAGATGTTGGGTGCAGGAGCTGGAAGATTTTCCAGACAGTGGTCAATTTTTAACAGCTGTTCCTGGAATTGCTGGGATGTTGCATCCGGAGGCTTGTAGACTTCCACAATGACTAGGTTTTGGTTCTCGACCTTTACTGCTAAAACTTCCACTACATCATTTGAGGCATTAAGCAGTTCTGTGCAAACAAGTGACTCTGCAATGTACAGGCCAACCCCCCTTCCCCTTTTGCCTGTTCACTTTGTCACATCTGTATAGGTTGTAACCTGGGATCATATTTCGTTGTCCAAGTGATCCTTTATGTGGGTCTCAGTGAAAGCCGCGAACATTGCCTTTGCCTCTGCAAGCAGTCCACGGATGAAAGATATTTTGTTGTTTGTTGCTGGCTTTAGACCCTGTATATTTGCAAAGAAGAATGTTATCGGACTGGTGGTATTGTTGGTACTGGGGGGGGGGATTTTTTTTTCCGGCATTAGTATCTGTATCTGTTGGTTTGGAGTGGAGGTCATCGACTGTGGTTCCACTCCAGGAATGACTGGATTTGGTGTACGATTTCTGCCATTTCCTGCCAGTTTTTTTTCCTTCCTGGCACTAAAAAACCTCTCCCTCTTGAGTGGCTGTGGCTACCCAGGTTTTCCCATGGCCTGGATGTTTTGTATCTTTTTGTCCCCTTTAGATAGTATGCCTGGCAATTTAAGTTATAGCACAGTCTTTCCTGTACTGAAGAGGTACACAGTTCAGGGTGAAAAAGGTTACAGGAAGGGAGTTTGCATTTTCCTGTTGTCATATGGGCATGGCATTTTCTAGGGTGGTCATAGTTGCACGTCCCATCTGTTTTTCCAGATTTCCCATGCCAGCAGATACCAAGTTTTAGTTTAATATGTTTATTATGCACCCCATACCCATCCTGTGGGCGATACCAAGTGCATAGTATGTGCACAGGCTTGGTTTCCGTTTGCCTTGGGTTTCTGTGACTGTATTCCCTGTTGGTGCATGTTTCCCTGTCTTACTTCTATCCTCCCTAGCACCAACAATGGAGCTCCCACCAGTTGTTTTTGGTAATATATCCTCACTATTGCTAGTGGAGTCCTCTTGTTTGTTATTTCCTGCGGTATTTCTAGTTTGCAATATTGGTTTTATCTTATCTTTGACTACACTTGTTTCCCTACTATGGCTCCTGTCCCCTATGAGGTCATTTATATGTATTCCTTCCTGCGTATAATTCCCGACTACCTGGACAAAATCTCCAGCTTCACCATTACTGTCTCCCAGGACAGCATCTCCAGCTTCACCATTACTGTCTCCCAGGACAGCACCTCCAGCTTCACCATTACGTCTCCAGACACACTCAGCTCCCATTA